CACCTCCATAACTTCGTTCAGAAAATCGTTTGGCAGTTTTTGAATGCAGATTTGAAATCAGCATCAAAAAATACCCCCAGCAGTATAGGACCCATTTCAAATGGCCACTTCGACTTGGGATCCTTCCCTTGTAAGAAATGTTAGTGAGCACAGTCATTATGAGTATTCCTCATCTGCACCCTAGCGCTAATGTTGAAAAAAAAGCGGAGGTCTCTCAGCTTCATTATTACGCCAGTACAGATCGATATCTCAGTTCTGAAGACCCCACTTAACTCCACATTACTCACTTCACTCCGCAGTACTCACTCTACTCCATTACCCAACCCATCAAATTACTGCTTTATAAGGAACTGTAGGATAGAGCTGGGTTTTCCATATCACTACTTTTGTCATTATCATAAAGTTTTGCGGACTGACAAACAGACAAACCGACAAACCAAGGTACTGCTTTATAAACAAGAGGGATTCCCAAGCTTTGCCCAAATTTTTCCCGGTGTCCGGCCTTTTCTAAAACCGAAATAAGAAGTTTTCATTCGACACCGCCCCCAGTAGGCGATGCTCCGCTGGACTCCTATATACGCTGTTGATCTTGTCCTATGCTAAATCCATGAAATGTTAATAAAGAAACGAGCAATGTAGTTTCTAGAGTTCCTTGTGCCCAAGCACAAACGACTTCTAGTGACCCACATCTCTTCGTCTTTCCATTCCTTTCCTTTCCCCTTTTATTAATACTTATAAACAAGACATGAAATGAAGATCTTCAAAATGTTCCCACAAATTCTAAACTGTGAAGACACAGTGCACTCCTGCAGAAGGAACGTTTCATAAGGACTGCAAGAACCGTGTAGACACGCCACTCTTACTCAGTTGGGCAGGAGGCGCCAAGATGACACTTGAGTCAGTAGGATCCACAAAGCTAGCATGAGACAGTTAGTTAGCAGCAATAGCTAGAGATCTCTATAGCATAGATAGACGATGATAATTATTCACGTGATTACCTAGTTTAGTGCAAAATAAAAATTTACGTCTCACAAGGACAGCGATTCGTAGACAAAGCTTCAGCCTCGGACGGGACTCGAACCCGTGACTGTACTTTACGGGCACCGTGCTCCCTACCACTTACACTACCGAGACCCTGCTAGCCCTCGCCTTCTTAATGGCTTGTATACCGTAGCCTAACAGCCCTCACATGAACGACGTGTTGAGCCGCAGCCAATACCAGCATTGAACCGCTAAGCTGTAAGATTTATATGTGGCATCTATCTATTTATAAACGGTGGCGATCACGGTTATAAACGCAAAGAAGCTAAGGCGATCCTCAATCGGATTCCTGTTTCCGAATTCGAATCACTCCACTCCCTAATTCCAGATTGTTTTTTCTCTATTAAAACAATTTATTTAGATTGTACTAAGAAAAAGCGCTCTCGTTCCATACCCATCATCTGTCACTGATAATGTCACACCTGCTGACAGTTACTTAGCGTCATTCTCATGATTTCTATGAAACAGCTCCAGTGAGCCAGTGAAAAAGGCGAATTGCATTGAGAGTGTTGACCATGATCGAGCCGATTGCCGTGTTGCAGCATTGGCTCTTGGAATGAGCTAAAAAGACGAACGCTAATTAACTACTGCTCGGCCTACACTTCTCGATTAGCAAATGTTCAGAACATTCCTTCGCGTGTAATAAGAATCATTCGATTACTGCTTAAACTTCAATAGGTCGTAAATGACTGCAACGCATCTCTTCAAGGTCAGAGAAAGAAGAACTAACGTCACAAGTTTGCCCGCCCATTACGTAAAATTTGTTCGATGCGCATTTCCGGAACTATCAATTTCCGGAATTCCCAAATGGATGAAAAGATCTTTTCACACTAATATAATTTTTCTGCGCTATATTCAAATTGTCATCGCGAAGACTGTAGGGAAGGGGGGGGG